TTTTTTTTTTTTTTTTTTGGCAGATTTGGATGAAAACAGCAGGGATGGTAGCCCCTTCTGAGGGCATGAAGCCTGCCAAGTGTCAAGGAAATAGATGCAAGGGGTTCTGGGAAACTGCACCTCAAACTGTTCAAAGCAAAACTCATGACGTGTATGACTGTGTGTGTGTTGTACAATGGGATGAAAACATTAGGGATGGTAGCCTGTAACAGGGCCTTCCTGGCGCCAGTTAGATCTCTGCCCACCTACCTGTTTGTGGGCCAGCCACCCACCCCTCTTTTGCTGAGGTGGAAACAGCTCACAAAAGGGACAGAGCCTGCAGACGGAGGCTTATAGGATTCATAGATTCATAGATTAAGGGTTGGAAGGGACCTAGTAGATCTTCTAGCCCGACCCCCCGCCAGGGCGGGAGAACAACAAAAAAACCCCCAAAAAGAAAAACGGGATGTTTTTACCTCCCTCCCCCAGAGCACTGTGATTGGAAGGGGTTCAGGGAAAGATCAGTCTCTGGCCAGCTACAGATGTCAATCCCTGCTCCCCCTCCCTCCTCTCAATTTTTGTTTCCCTGCCAGACTGCCTTGTGAATCACCAAATCTCCTAATAATTTTCCAAATCTTTTCTGAATCAATTTGGAGGGTTCTTTTTGTCTCCCAATTGGATTCTGATTCAGTGGCTCAGCCTCCGAATTCGGCTGAATCTTCTCCGAATTGAATCGGTGACCGAAGCTTCACATACACCTAGTAGATTGCCTGGTCTAACTGTTTCATCTTGCACTAATCAGTAGTCACAGCATTTTTGCATGCGTCTTGCTGGTTGAAAGGTATCCAGGTTGTAGCCATATTGGTCTAGAGGAAAAAGCAATCAGGACTCATAGTAGAGGTGGTATCAAGATCAATTAGAGTTTTGCAAAAAAAAAAAAGGCTTTAATTGCAAGCTTTCAGGCATGCACACCCTTCATCAGGTATCAGAGAAAAGATTGTAAAAGATAAAATCTTCATAATTTTACAAGAAGGAAGCAAGTTTGACCACCTGAAACATGAGATCCTGCTCCTGCCCTTGTTTGAGGTAATTTGCATTATTATAGAGCTCAGAGACGCCTTACTAGGCAAGAAATGCCTGCCCAGAAGAGCATTGCATCTATTTACTCCCCTGTGAAACAGGATATATCATAACCAGAAGAAAATACGACTACATCCTACTTGCCACCAAAAAACTTTGAGGTAAATAGACTATTCCAACTTTTTTTTTCTCTCTGAGCCTAATCTTCATATACAATAAACTGTTCCAAAAAGGAGATTTTATCCCACCTTCAACTCTCCTATGAAATATTTCATTCCTACCCAGGAGAACTTTCTACAATCTTTTCTCCATTGCCTGATGAAGGGTGTTTGTGCCCAAAAGGTTGCAACTGAAGACTTTTTTTGCAAAAATCTAGCTGGTCTAATAAAAGATATCACCTCTCCCATGAGTCCTGATTGCTTGTTGGTTAAAAGGTTCTCTACAGCAGTGTTGCCCGGAGCTGAGGGGCAACTGTGAAATGAGCTTTTTAAGCATTGTTGTGAATTGAGAACAAGGCTTCTATTTTCCTATATGCTACTTGCAAAGCTAGTATTGCCCACCAAGCCAAGATGGGGGTTATAAACTAAGAACTAATGTATTTGGGGTTCTAAGGGCTGGTTGGTGTTGGTGAATCTGCCCTTAATTCGGAGGGGGGGGCGGGGAGAAAGGGAAGCTGCTAATTGTGTACCTTAAAATCCATGGAAATCTCTTCTGGTGGTCTCTGGGTTTCCTATTTAGTGTTCAAATGAGTCTTTCCTTTATTTTTAAATTAGAGAAATTCCAAGAGAGAACTTAAGTCGGATATGTGTATTGTACTACATAACTCCATTTTTAAGAAACGGCCATTATGAACTTGTGAAACTTTTTACTCTGAATTTCACTTACTTTAACATAATTTTATGTAAATGCAGTGTGGTCAAGACATCCTTGTCCTTCAGTGATATCTTCAAGAGGGGCAGAAAACAAGAGGGTGGGGGAACAATTTGGTTTAATCACAGACAACGGGATGTTTGTCTCCCTTTGTTTTTAATGGTCATTTCTATCAAGATTAAGATCAAGTACATTAATTCCTCTAGAACCCTTTGGAAATAGTTTACTAGGGAATGGTGGTTTACTAGGGAAAATAGTTTACTAGGGAATCCTTTTCTTGGCTTTGGGAGGGAAAGGTGAAGGTAGACCTTTAACTTTTAGTTTCTCTTTCTTTCTTTCAAATTTAAACTCCCTTAATCTCTTTTATAAGACTGACTCACTCTGTTTTTGATAGATTCATGAGTCTGCACTACGAGCAAAGAACAGAAGGCAAATGGAGAAGCGGAAGCTGTCTCAGAGGCGAGTGCGCTCTGCAGATGTGGAGAAAACCTGGAGAACAAAATCATCCCCACCAGATAATCCTTGGATGACAGAGTACATGAGATGCTACTCGGCAAGAGCTCGGTGAATCAAAAAACATCCTGGGACATTTACAAAAAAAAATTAAATCAGGATATTGGTGCAAAGAACCAAACTATTTATGCAAGGTTTTTATAAGGGTTTCCAGCAGTTTGTGACGATGTTTGTACTCTGTCACCTACCTCACCGTAGGGTGTATAGTTGGAGCCATAACATTTGAAGATGGTTTTTAAACATTCCACCTTTTTAAAACCTTTTGAAGAGGCATTTCAAGTTAAGAAAACAATTTCAAAACATTAAATATCTAAGCAAATGTTTACAGCCATTAGATGTAGGTCACAAACATGCAGCTACCCCTTAATACAAACGTTCATAATTCTCTTAAGTTGTGTATGTGGGTGTGATGTAGGTGCCTTTGCATTATTTAAAATAGTACTTTATCACTTCCATTCAGGTGGCTAACCAGAAAGCCAGTGGCTCTAGTAAGCTTCACTAATGATAGGAGACCTGTGTTTCCAACTCTGCAGACAGCTGCCAGAAGTTGTCTGCCTATTTTGCAGGCTTTCAAGACTTTTAATGCAATTACTCTCTAAAATTATTTTAATAGAGAATCTTACTGGTATGCTCCTATTTTCATTGTTTTACAATGTCGTGGATTACATCAGTATTATTCTGTGATTTACTTATTGCACAGCAAGACGTACTCACAGGATTAATTTGCTGTTTTCATGACTAACATCAAATGGTCGATTTGTGGACAATCACTATTTAATGGCTGTCAGCCAGTAGACAGTTGCTCGCTCTACCAGTATTGACCAGGGACCACTGTATTAAGCTAGGGGACGCATCTATCTATGTTTGGGTCTAATCATCTGAATACCAGTTTCAGATTAGATTTTTAAAAGTATGCACTCTAATGAGCAAGCTGGTTTCTGAATAGTGAACTCCTATTTTTAACACTTGCATCTGTGAGTCTGTCAATGCTCCAAGAAAAAATAGACTTTAATTCCACCTGGTTTAGTGTAGTTAATACTTTGATAGAAGTTTTAGACTTGTAATTTTGATAAACATTTGCAAATTAACTTTATTTATGGGGTCCAATCTTCCCCTGAGGTACAGGCATAACTCCTTACCAAGGGGAAAAAAACATCCCTGGGAAACCCAGAGACTACCAAAATCTCTGGATATTTTTATTTCATGGGTTCTTTTTTTAATTCCGTAGGACAGCCAGCACTTGTTTGATGTTAGATCCTCAATGTACCTTTTATCAGGTTGCTGTAAATGGAATTTTTACCTTTTGAATACTAAGTGTGAGCTTTAAAAAAGATGCTTATAATAGTTGTGAGCTTTTTTTGAGACCTCTTTGAAGTGTGGTGTGTGTTTCGAGGTGCATTCTTTTACACAGAACACATTACTGAACCCTGAACATGTTTTACCATGGTTTGACCTTAACACTTCAGGACTTTTAAAGAGTCTTAAGCTAGTTTGAGGTGGGAAGTTAGTTCTGTGGTGTGTTGGTATAGCAGATTTTTAAAATTAATGCATCTACCAGTCTCTGTTTGGCTTCACTGCACAAGCCTTGGAAAATGGAAGGCAGACATTGGATTCCAAAAACTGAAGGCAGTGATTTTTATCTGAGACTCGGTGTGCAGAGGCAAGGTTCCCCTTTCCTAAGAGGATGACTGAAAGAGTCCAAGGCTGATGGAGCAAGCACAGCTTTCCTATTGCCTTGGTTTTTAAATTATAATTTTATTTCATATACAGAGCAATAAAACTAACTTACTAAATCATTCTATGTCATGGGGTTTAAATGGTGGCCTTTTTCACTTGGGTTGCAAAATTTAAGAGTGCAACTTTTTAAAATGTTGTTGTCCTCTAATCTGCCCTCAAACCACCAACTACAGCAGGGGTCAGCAACCTATAGTCTGTAGGCTGGATCTGGTCTACTAAAGGCTTTTTATTTTATTATCTTTAATCCGCCTCACCAACTTGGTGTCAGGGTTGTAACCAGCTGCCTGAATTTGAACTCAGCTGAATTAATTTGGTGCACTGTTCCTAAAAGATTTTCCCACCCTTGCAGTAGAGACTTTCTAACTTGGAAAGACGACCTCTCCTCTATGTATGAGGCCATCCTGTAGTTCTTTTTAGAAATTCCTGAAAGACGCCTGCATTTCTGAGGGCATCCTATTCTACTGGACGTTACTTCTTAACCTCATGGGTGAAATAATATTTTTTGATTTGTTTTTATTTTCTCCCCTTTAAATATATTTGCTCTAAATAGTCCCCAAGTTTCAGGTAAACTTCTAGATCACTGGGCATCTTATCCCTTAAAATAGTAACAGAGATTAGTAGCAGTACTAGCAGCTATACTGGATGAACAAAAGTGTGTGGGGAGTGTGTGTGTGTTTATTATTATATTTTTTTAAGTTTTTACTCAGAATATTGGTTGCATCTCTGTTTTGGAAGGATGCAAGTCTTAATGTCAAAGCCATTCTGCCTACTGTTCTATGCTTTCAGTGCAGGTTTCCAGTCAAGCAAAGTGTGAGAGAGAGGAAGGTTTGCTTAAATGCATTAGACAGCTTGAGAAACCTAAGTAAGCTGCAGCATTAAAGTTGCTTCAGGCTTGTCTCTTACTTGTCCCCTGGCAGGTTGGTCAGTAGTTCTTGTTCTACCAACATTTAACTTGCTGGAAGGGAAAAGTGCTACAAAGTTAGATTGCATGACTGTCAAATGTCATTTTTTAGCTCGAACTTAAAAGATCCCTGCACACCTGAGTGCTGTATTCTCCCTGTTCTTTCCTGGGGTGTGTGCATGTATGCAGCCTGAACTGAGGCAACTTTTTTTTTTTTTTTTCCTGCAGAAAACATCTATTGGGAAAGCTGCCTCACCTTACCCAACTTCTGTAGATGACCTTCTTGGGGGGCGGGGGGGAGGATCTATCATAGTACTTAAAGCTATGACTTCAAGGGGTATAAAGCTGACCACCCCACGCTTGCTGCCAAGTCAGTTGTGGATGCAAAGCATCTTAATTTTGGGACTGCAAATTCAAGTGGTTGGCTTGCCTGTGCAGTTTCCTAAGTGTTACCCTGCAGCTGTTGGTACAAAGCGATGCAGACAGTAACAAAAATGCCTTCTTGAAAATTTGTTTTTTGCAGTTAAACAGCTTCCATATTAAATTTAGGAATGTGGTATTGAAGGAGAGCCCTAATGAAAGGCTAGCTGTTGTTCAGAGAGCAAGAAACTCCTATTCATACTTGGCTAATGTGAGCTAGATTTGAGATGCATGTTCAGTGAAGTGGAATGGCTTTTGCACCAAGACTGGAAAAATTGAAAACTTCTTTTTACACTGTCTCAACCATCTCCTGGCAATTGAAGAATTAAAGATGCCATACTAACTTACTGCAGCCTCAAGTATTTCACTCTTGCTTTAAAAAGGAATTTTGTTCCAAATATTTTTGTGGTCAATTATTTTCTAGTTCTTTTTGCTAAATCCTGACAAACTCTAGTCTCTTTCACTAGATGCTCAAAAGCACTGCACATAGTGAAGTGGTGATTGTGTCCTGCTGGTGTAATGCACTTTCTTCAACTACACGAAACTCTGAAGCCCAGCTGGTGTGTTCAGTGTGCAATGTTACAATAAAAGCTGTGTAAAAGAATGTCCTGGTACAGTAGAGTAGCATGCTTGTGCTCAGTCCTTGTGCTCTTGCATCTTCCTCACACCATGCAATTTGATACTTACAGGGACACTTGCCTAGCTTTAGGGCCAAATTTAACAAACTTGTAATGGACAGGCTTGACTGTCCTTCTATCCAGGTAGCAGATGCACATTTAAACTAATCTTTCATTCTAGGAAGAATACATCTGCCTTTTTGATATTAAAATGTATGATGATGTGAAATTCGGCACTGAAACAAGACCTTCAGGAATGGACTTGGTTTTAGCTTGCAATGAAGTGACCAAAAGTTAAGAGGGTCTGTGTATAGCAAGTTGCTTGTTTCAGTCTAGTTTCTGGAACAGGTGGTACACTCAGCCACAAAGCCATAATTAGAGCCTGATTCTCAACCCTACAATTGGTCCCTCTTGAAAGGGATGGGAAGGATGAGGAAGTTGCCTCATTCTGTTTTGCTAGCACTGAATTCACTTTAAAAGCTGAAGAAATGCCATCTAAGCTTGAAGCAATATGTGACTTCTTTTTGTAGAATGGTCCTTAACAGTATTTGTTTTTAAAGCTTCTGTATTTTGTGTATAAACAGCGTATTTAACATTGCAGTGTCAGATTGTACATGTGAATAAAACTGAGTGAGACAATCTTGAGTGGCTTCAAACAGCAGTACAGACACAACATGCATATCTCGTTTTGAATCTTGCTACCTTTGCAACTGCGAAGTCACAAATGGAGTAGAGAAGCATTTCTTTGACACGAGTTCAGTCTACTAGTTTGGATTCATGCCCTACATGTACCTAAATGCACTTAAAATTTAGAGCCTCAAAACATGGCTCAGCTATCAGCTAATCTGGGAAAAGCCTCAGCTCTGACAGGCAAGTAGTTAAGAACTTCTCATGCTTAAGCCCCATCCTTCTTGATTTAGGGCTATGGATTTTGTTATGGGGTGGGATTAGGATGGGATGTTTTAAGTCGCTCCTGAACTCTTTATAGTTGTCACCCTCCAGATTCTGCTTCCTTCTTCCTTTTGCTATTTTATTCCTACAGTATTTGAGACAGCCAAAGCAAACAGATGGTTCAGTATAACATAATCTCCTAACCTACATTGGGTCCCTAACACTGTTTCATCTTCCCAGGTTGGTGGAGGGGTGAAAATGGCTTCAATACTTCAATGTATGGCAGGGCTGCCCAACAGCTGGGCAGCCAGGGGCCATATGCTGCCTGGGCTAGCCTTGGGGGCCACAAATTGGGGATTGCTTTCTTTGCAGGCAGCCTAGTAGGCTCCCTTCCTGGTTAAGCACTGACCTGCAGTGCTGGCAGCCTGGCTTATGCCTTTTTTTGCCTGCAGTGTGAGCAACCCAGCACCCTCCCCTGCTGTGTGCACAGCATGAGTGCCCTGGTCCCCACCTGCTTTGTTCCTCAGGAGCCGGGGCAGGATGTGGAAACTGGAGCAG